TGGGAGTGTGTGGGGGTGGAATGGGGGGTTGTGGGGGCCATGGGAGGAAGAGGAAGAGGGAACTGGGGTTGATATGTAAAATAAGATTGTTTTTTAGTTTAAATAAAAATTATTTTAAAATCCCTATATTCCTCCAGAAGAAGAAGAAGATTAGGCTTCCAAAACCATGAGCACATGATACCAGTATTATCACCAAGGCTTGAAATTTAGGGCTTGTCCATTCTACCACTGAAAGGAAAGAAAATCAAATCTCAACTCCTAAACAAAGGTGGGAAGCATACCTCTCTATAAAACAAAAACTCGTAGAATGTCCATCAAAATCTCTGACTTACTTAGCAAAACACTATTTGTGAATATGAGTAAGCTACAAGCCGCAGTCAGAAAGTGAACTGAGCAGTAGATGAAGAAGGTAGGAACCAAAGCTGCACAAGTCTCACTGATGGCCATTAGCAGTAAAGCATATGTGAAGATTAACTTCCTTCCAAACCTGGGGAAAAGACAAAGGTTCCATCAGAGAAACAATGCAGTTGTTGTTACAAATAACAGTCAGTAAGAATTCTGTCTATTTCCCTGTGGTTAACTTTTGTCATCTTTCTAGTCCATGCCTGCCACATCGTCTCTTAATTTTTGAACCTCTTTCATGTCTAATAAGATGTTAGTTCTGTATCAACACAACACACAGACTTTTAAATACTAACTGAAATTCTGTTTGTGTTTAATGATCTCTAGGATCAAAGAGTGAATGAGTTACAGCTGATGAAAATACTCAGTGTAGAGAGAGCTGCAAGGCACAGATACTCACCTGTCTGTTAAATAGCCACCTAAGGAATTCCCTACCAGAGTTCCAATGGTGAATATAAATTTAGCCACAGAATCCAGTGCCTGAGATCCACACACCAGGTCCCACTGGAAGAGAAGGAAACCAGTATGACAGCCTGTCAGTGTAATTTGTTCAAAATTCTTCGACATGAGCTTCCAATTCTACTGAACTCATCTTCCTCCCCAGCTTCCTTGTTCACTATTACCTGATTCCTGTCATCCAATCAAAGCTTTAGTAAATCTGTCCCCACTAGTCTTACTGGAATTATGTAGGTTATACTAGTGACTTGCAAACTATGCTAAGTTCTCAAATTTGGCCCTAGAATGCAATAATTCATGATCCTTATATTGTTTTCTCTGGACCCTATGTGTCAGTGCACAGCCTCCTCCATGACTCCTCTCTGCGTAGAGCTCAGCTAGATCCTGATCACTGTTTGTTTTACCTATTTACTTTTATACTTTTGCCAATACAGTTGATGGAACTCAGGGCCCACACATGGGTAGAATACTGGCCATTACCCACATTCTGGTCTATAAAAGAATGCGAACTGATGGGAGTTTTTGCAGTGCCCAGTACTGAATTTTGAGCCTCACGAGTGCTGCAGATACACTCTGTCGTGGGCCTCCATTTCTACTCATCACTGTGGCTTTGTACAAGTTTAAACCAAAGCTGAATAATGCTGACTTGTCACAATACATGGACACTTTACTTAAACTAAATTTATACACAATAATTAATTCTTTTACATATATTTCTTATTATCATTTACTTCATTCTTAGAAATCTCATACATGTATACAAAACACTATATTAATATACAACCTTTATATCCCGCACAGCTCCCTCCAAGATGCCTGAATACACACTTCTCCAAACCTCATGTCTTTTTCCTTTTTCTCATATTCTGCTGTTTGGTTAATGTTGCCCATATGTACATTAGAGTGCAGACAACCTAGGATTAGCTATACCCCTAAAATAAAAATAAAAGCTACCATCAGCTCCCAATACATCCTCAGTTAGGAGTGGGTCCTCCTGTGCTCTGTTCTCATCTATGCTGGAATTTTGATTGATTTGACCTTGTTCTGGTCTTTGTGTAAGTAACCACTTTGTCATTGAGTTCACTTATAAGGATGTTTCCCCCTCTTTCAACTTCTTTTTATTGTTATTAAAATTTCAAAAATAAATATAATTGCATCATTCCCTCCTTCCCATTCCTTGCTCAATCCCTTTCTCCAGCACCTCCCTGAAGGATGTACTGAAAGCCCCATGGAAATTTGTTGTTGAGTAAGCCATTTTCAAAATACAATTTAAAAGAAGGAATTTGAAAGAAGATACAATATTTGGGTAGACAACACCGATCTCCGAAGTTCTGGGCTATTAAGCAGAAATCCTAGTGCCAGGCATGTGTAATAACATTGTACAAATTATTTGTCAGGGAAGCCCCACCGGCCTCCAAAACAACTCAGGCTGTTACCATTGCTTTTAGCCAGGCATGTGTAATAACATTGTACAAATTATTTGTCAGGGAAGCCCCACAGGCCTCCAAAACAACTCAGGCTGTTACCATTGCTTTTAGATTCCTGCCATAACTAAATGTTAAGACCCTACTATTGAAGAGCCCACACACTCATGGGGGAGGTCCTTCTGTGTATATGTTTGTCTTATTGGTTGATAAATAAAGCACTGTTGACCAACAGGGAAGCAAGTTAGGTGGGACTAGGAGAGAAGGAGGATTCTGTGAAATGTAGTAAAGAGGAGAGTCGCCATGTGAGCCCGTGAAGAGAGGATGCATGCCGCTGGCGTCCTCGATAAGTCTTTATAAAATATATAGATTATGGTTATGGTTGATACTTAGGACAGAACTAGCAAATGAGAAATCCTAGTCATTGGCCAGCAGCATTGTAACTAACATAAGACTCTGTGTGTTGTTTGGGGACCCTAGTGTGGCAGTGGGGCTCAGGCAGCTGTCAGAAAGAGTTATCATTACAACACTTTTTTTTTGCAGGACATAGAGATCACTGTCAAACCAGACTGAAAACTCTCCTTAATGGCTGTTTTTCACAGTGGTAGATGTTTCTATACAGAGTGCAGGTAGACAAAAGATATCAATGGCCTTGCCAAGTGCTTGACCCTCATGCTACAATACCAATCTGCAAGACAAAATGGCCATAGTTGAAGTAGTGACGTAAGTGATATAAAATAAGCAACCATTTGTGATTGGATTTATATCTTGCTACAGAGGAAGAAAATTATGATATTGTAAAACCAGTTAGAAGCCCATGGCTTGGAAGGAGATAGGCCTCTACGGGTGTTATTTTGCTAAATGGTCCTGTTGTTACCTGCTGCTTCTTAACCTGAGGTCATGCCTTGAATGAAAGGATCAGAAACATAAACCTCCATTCATATTGGAAGTCATTAGAATTATTGAATATGATTCTTGCATTTAAGAAGGCAATGAATAAGCAAGAGCATATACATTATTTGCTGAACTGTTGCAATGAATTCATTGAGGGAGTGGTATTTTTGAAGTCACTTACCTCAGTTACAGTGGTGGAGATGAGGGTGCTCCTGTCATACACCCAGCCGTCAACACAGGGCTCTGTGTCTGGCTCTGTCACATTGGAGAAGGTGCCATTCAGATGAAGGAGATGCCACTGTGGTTGGACAAAGCGACGACACTTGTCTGGCCTCAGGTTGGAGTCCAGTGGGATGGAGATCCTCAGGAGGTCATCTTGGCTCAGGATCCCACTGTCATTGTCAGAGACAGTGTCATTGTCAAGGATGGGGACCCAGCAGCAGTGACCAGGGATGGCTGCAGTAAAGTTCTCCAAATAATTGTGAGGAAACACAATGCTATTGCAGATCAGAAGGAAAACCCATCTGAAGGATCTGGAATCTCCCCATGCTTTTGACTGAATTCAAGAGTCCCTGAAAGGCCATTGAGGCTGAATGACTGTTTCCAATGGGAAGCAGAACTGCTTATACTAAGGTAAGTATAAACCTCTAAATAAAGTTCCGTTTAATAGAAACAAACTAAATAGGGTTGATCTTGAGATCGTCTTATATGCCTCTCCTCTTGTAACAGCAGAGTCACAGAACTGTGATCTGTAGTGTTGTTGCCATTAGAAAAGGACCTGTCTTCTACAAATTATCCAAAAAAAAGTTCTTCTAATATCTTCTGTAATCTTGTCTGTTAAACATTTGCTTCTTAGGAATTTATGTAACACCCCACGGTCAGCTCTGGAAAACAGAGGGCAAACTCTCTGAAATTAAATCAAAGTTAAGGGCATTTAAGGTACCCTCTCCACTATTGCTTAGATTCTTAGTTGGGGCCATCCTTGTGGATCTCTGGACATTTCTCAAGTGCCAGATTTCTCTTTAAACCTATAATGGCCCCCTCTGTTAAGGTATCCCTTTTCTTGCTCTCCTCTGTTCATCCTTGGACTCAATCTTCTTGATCCCTCATGTTCTCCTTCCCCCCCTCCTCTTCTCCCTTCCTCTTTCTCCTACTTCCTTCTCCCCTCCCCCCATGTTCCCAATTTGCTCAGGAGCATTGTTAAATCAAATAAAATTTAATTAAATAAAAGAAATGCAGCCCTGGTTTGGGCCATTCTCTCAAGAAAATCAACAGTGTTTATGTTGAAGTACACAGAAGTGAAAAAGAATTTAACATTTGGACTGCTAAAACTAATTTGAGTTAAATGCATGTGTGCAAACAGAAGGGGAACCGAGTTCATCACCAAGCTTTGCTGAAATTAGGGACTGTTAGAATTTGGGTGCAGAGTACAGAAGCAAATCAGGAAAGAGACCAGAATCTGTTCTCAGCAGAGGAGTCTGCACTTACTAAGGTGCATAGCAGAGTACAGCCTCTCTTCTTTGGGAATAAAGGGTCTGAAGAAGAGGAGGGGGCTTCTCAGGCTCTGACATAGTTTGTGCACAGAATAAGTTGGTCAGACTGGGATGGTGAATGTGAGGGGCACCAGATGCCAGCCCAGGGCTATTTTTCAGTTCTTACGAGGACCAGAAGTTCCTGGTAGCTGTCGTTAAGGTGCAGTTGTGGTGAGGTGGAAAGTCCCAGGATTATTCTCACAAGAACTATATAGTACGCTTCATAAAGAGCCCACAGTGATGGGCCCTACACTCATGAATTTCAGCAGTGATGAAAGTTCTGCTTTACTTTACTTCAAGGCACCCTCCAGGGGATCAAACACACATGAACAATTTTAATAATATAAATTACTATGTGCAAACTTCTGAGATCACTTCCTAACTCTGACATTGTTCCTAGCAACAGTCCTTATTCTTGAGTCTTGAGAAATTATTTCAAACAAAACCAATGCCCAGCTTGCATAACACTTTAGGTTTCTGTTTTTCTTTTTGTGATACACTTCTCTAATGTTGCACATCAGCTATGGTCTTAAATGTCAGAATATTTGAGTGAAATTATAGTCCTTAGTGATTTCCTTATAGCAGCCCTAGAGTCACCATGAAGAATAAATAGCTGAGGCACTTGGTAGAAAGATGAAAACACTTTCTACAGTCTTCACTTTCGGGGCAAATATCAGCGATGCAAGGTGTTATTTGTTGAGAGGCTTCAATCACCATGAAGCAATGCATGCAAGTAGATCACCTTTCTCATTTCACGAGCCATTAAAGAAGTCTACCTCTGTGCAGCTTCTCCACTCTATATTTTCTCATTTGGGAAATGAAGAGTACAAATTCCTCTACCTCAGACTGAGCACTGGCCCTGGTCTTCCTTTCTCCAGGAATTCAGACTGTGTATGGTTATGACAATATCAGAATGAACAATTTCTTCTGTCATCTACTGGTATTTTTGTGCATGTAAATGAGCTATTCCCCATCATGATCAGGTAGATAACTGAAGATTCACTGTCAGGGTCAGAACAAACTTTTCTCAACACATTCAACTGTGCTTGCAGAAGAAAAAAAGGATACAACAATTATGATACTGTGGGGGACCAAAGTATTTCTGCTATGGAATATTTTGAGATTCAGCCTTGGGTCTCACTAAACATGGAGCACTGGAAAGCTCCGGCCCACTATTGTATTGTTAATGTCAGTAAGGCTACTACTGTTTACCATGGCCTCAAGGAAATATGCCTCTTATTTGCATCTGTATGTGCCTAAGCACCTGGGTGGAGGAGAGAGAGGTGTGAGTAACTTGTGAGGACAGAAGGTTAGGAGTTAAGGGGCGAGTGGCCAGAGCAGAGAGGGACAAAGAGGATGATTCCCTCGTGGTATTGGCAGGACGGTTAAGAAACACCAGAAAAGATGGCTAATAAAGAAATGACTCTAGTTCTACGACATGGAACTGAGAGCTCTCTGAAGATGACAAGACGCCTGTGTTTGATCTTTATTGCCGTTGGGTTGCTGGTAGCTTCCAGGTCTACACACCCCCACTCAGGTCGAACCTCATGGCTGTCGTGGGTTAAAGCTGAGACAAGCTGGGTCATGACATGATACCAAGTAGGTCAAAGTTCAATTTTGGCCATATTACCTGTTTCTAAAATGCACTATTATTGAACATCTGGTGCAAAAGTTTAGAACTATGTGGAGGTAAGATCCTCAGGAGATAGTATTTTTTAGTATTTTTACCAGTTTGTTAACTACATTTAAATTCTAAAATGTAGTAGAAGTATAGAAAGGATTGTGGTCATTCCTATTCCTTTTTACAGTTCTGACTCTGTTCTTTGTCTCTATTGTTTTTTCTTTTATCAACAGGACATTTTTATTGAAAAGAGATTCTTTTCTCATACAATACACCCTGACCACAGATTCCCCTCCTTCCACTCCTTCTAGTTCCCCTCACCCACCTCTCCTTTGTTCCAGATTCCTCCTCAGAAAAGAGCAGTCCTCTAAGAGCCCATGACAAGATACAATAAGACAAGGCAAAAACCTCATATTGAGGCAGGGCAAGGCAACCAAATAGGAGGGAGAAATTCCAAGATCAGACAAAAGATTCAGAGGTGCACGTGCTCCCATTGTTAGGAGTCCCACAAAAACACCAAGCTAGCAACCATACATTACATGCAGAGCACCTGGTGAAGATCCCTGCAGGCCCCATGCTTGCTGCTTCAGACTCTGTGAGCCATGTGAGTCCTGCTTAGTTTGGTGGGGCATGTTCTCCTAGTGTCCTCCATCCCCTTTTACTCCCACAATCTTTCTTCCCCCTCCATGGGGTTCCCCTATCTCCTAGGGGAGGGACCCTGTGGAGACCTCCAATTTTGACTCTCTCCTCTCTCTCTCTGCATAATGTCTGGCTGTGGGTATCTGCTCCTGCTCCCATCTGCTGCAGGAGGTAGCCCCTCTCATGATGACTGAACAAGGCACCAGTTTATTAATATAGAAGAAATCACTAGGAATCATTTCATTGTTTGTTTGTTTTTTCTTGAACTTACACCCAGAGGATGCTCCATCCTACCACAAGGACACTTACTCAACTGTGTTCATAGCAGCTTTATTCATAATAGCCAGAAACTAGAAACAAACGAGATGCCCCACAACTGAAGAATGAATAAAGGGCATTTTCTTACCATTTTTTGTGTATGTTGGTCTTTAAATTAGCATACAAAATCCAGGACTTCATAATACCATTTTGAAAGATGTTTTTGTTTGGTTTCCCTTTGCCATCGTCCCATTGCCCCTTCAGCTGGTCTCCTTCCTCATGTCAATATATATGGCTACCCTCTCCACCCTGAGACTTTTCTTCCTCCTATAATGATCTCCTTTTTATTCTCAGAGCCTTTACCAACAGCCACAAAAGTACACACATACATGCCAGTTAAATGTAAGGCCTGCACATGATAGAAAGCATGTAGTGTTGATATCTCTGATTCTATTGCTGGAATTGATAAATAAGTTTCTTAATATTCTTACCTTGACAATAGATACATGTACAACACAGCCCCTAAACAGAAAGCTCAGGGAACATCATGAAAGAGGGAAGGAAAATTATAATAGCCAGAGGATGAGGGTATCTGCTGTGGGATAGTGACTTCTACATATGATAGGGAGGCTGTGCCCATGATATCTCAACAATATAGCTGCATACTCAACACCTATGTAATGAGAACACCACTTCACACTTTAGCATGAATGTGGTAAGCCATCCCAGAGCTGAGCTCTAGATGCAGAGTGGTAGCAGTCAATGGCTGATGAGAGAGGGAGAATCAGGCTTCTCCAAGGATGAATCTTTGGGAGGTCACCCCTGAAGATACACATATCTGAGCAGCCCTGAGTAGACCTGGTAGCTTCTGTGTGTGCTGGCCTTTCAGTATTCAGATGTCTGCTGAGCCTGGG